ATATGGTATATATATATATATATTAGATTTTCCGTGCTTCTGGCTTTATGGAAATATCAAAAAGCTTAATAAGTTTCACAAAAGCACTTATGCAATGATTTTCATAAAATCAACAATAAAATATGGTTTTAAAATAGAGCATTCGTCAGCAGGTGCAATGGTAATCTAATATTAGAATAAAAATGTATGAAAATTTCATCTGCGTGCTTCACAGCAGCAATTAAATTAATGTATGTATTTTATTTCAATGAAGAGGAAAATATTTTTATTCTGTGACGCACGTTGTACAGTGAGAAGCAAAAATAAAAAGATCACAGTTAGTAACCCTTCTTCTAATAATCGGATTTTCAAGTACTAAGTTTAAATCTTAATAATTTCTGGGGACGACCTTACAGATACTAATTAATTAGAACTAGCTTTATATCAAGTTACGAAATAAGACACCAAAACCTAATTTCTCTTTTTAAACATACTTTTTTCGACGGCTTTGGATTTCTGACTCTTAAAATTTAGGGGGTTAAAAGCAATTTGGTGAAAAGTTCCATTTGTTTGGTTGGATTAGCGGTCCAAAATTTGAATCCGTTAAGGTTAATTAGATTTTTTGCGTATTTCGCCATGTTTCGGGAATTTTTTTTTAGCGAATGAGAAAAAGAATTTTTTTCCATACAAAAAATTAATTTCAATGATAATTTATTATTTTATTTATTAATAGTCCTAAAATTTCAGAATCGTAAGATATATAAATTTTTACATCAATTTAAATAATGTAAATAGAAGCTTTGAATGAAATCTATCGCATAGTTCTTTAAAAATTGAATTTTATATGAGTCATGATTAAAAATTTAGTTTAACCCAATTTTGTTCAAAATTTTTTATTTTGACAAATAAAATTACAGTTACAAAAATTAAGCAAGAGTTAGTTTACCTTACAATTAAAAATTTTTTCGATTATTATAAAAATAAAAAATAAACAAATAATGATTAAAAACTTTCTTTTGGCATGTAGTTACCGTTCAATCGGCGAATTTTATAATTGTGGGTATGTTTTTTTATCAATTGGCCTACAAGTTTTTCGTGATATAGCGGAATACGCAAAAAGAAAAAATATCATTAAGTGATTCAAACTTTCAACCACACTCCTGACCAAATTGCTCGAATCATATTTCCCGGATTGCGGCTATCCCCTATATTTTGAGAGTCAGGAATCCAAATCCATTAAAAAATGTGCATTTATTCAGAGAAAGTACGTTTTTAAATCTGATTTCGAAACTAAAGATATCATCTACTCTAATTTATTGTCATTGTGGTCCTCAACTCAAGCCATTAGGATTGAGTCTTATTACGTGGTAGTATGATCATTAGATAAGAAGTTATTCCGAGTGATTCCTTTTTTTTGCGCTCTGTACACTACTTCATGCATGAAAATAAAACGCACACATCACAATCACAAATAAAAAAATCACAAAAAAATAAAAATAAAAATCACAAATAATTGAAAACTTTCTAGAAATTTTTCAATTAAATATTTTCTGCTGAAAAAAGTATAAAGAGTTGAAGATTAAATGAAAAATTACGTAAAAAGTGGTATTGAGTTATAAATTAGCTCATTTAAATATGAAAGAAATAAGATTAAAATCTCCATTAACTTAAAATATAAAGATGGTAATGAAAGTTGATATGTTTCCAGCACTCAAAAATAGGAGCGCATTCTCTAGACTTGCAAAATAAGTGAATGAGGGAAACAAAAGTCATGTTTCAAATAACTTTTATAGACTTCTTACTTTTTTCATTCCTTACGAAGAAGGGGTTTTCAACTAGTTTCGAATAATGTGTAGTTGTAGTTTAGCTGAAAAATATACTTTTCCAAACCACTAATGGTTTTAACAGAATAATTAATTTTATTTTTGTTCAAGTTTAGTTTTTGCAAAATAATCTTGAGAAAGAATTTGAATATTTTGTAAGAAAATTACCTCAATCAAGCATAACAGACTGCATCAATTTAATTCTTTAGACGTAATTTTAATGCTTATAAATTTAGTTTTATTTAGTTTTATTAAATTTAGTCATAACTTTAAACAAAACTTTATAATTTAGCTTTTTTACCTTTTTCTTAAACGATTTTTAACATTTAACACACAATAGTTTTTTGTCACTAAGGAAACAATAATGGTCAAAATTACCAGAATATGGTAAAATCTACCTTGTTTCTGGTTTTATGGGAACACCAAATAGTTCGGCAAATTTCTACCGTTTAGCTTTCTTAATGATTTTGCTAAAATTAGCAATAATATATGGTTTAATAATATGTGATATAATTTAGCTGTATAATTTTATTTATTATAAATGTATAATTCAGCTGTTTAATTTTTGCTTTACACGACTCAGTTCTTTCCTTTGAGAAAACAATAATGGTCCTGAATCAAATGTACTTTGTTTCTGATTCGATAGGAACACCAAAATGCTTCATAATTTTTTCCGTAAAACTTTGGTAAAATTAACAATAAATTATAGTTTATAATGTGTCATAAAATTTGATAAATGTAGTAAATTTGGGAAATTTTATCGTGATACCTTAGAGAAATACATAAAAACCATTTAGTTGATTAAATTAAGTTTTTTCAGTTTTGCATTTCCTATTACTAAAATGGAGTTAATAAAAAAAAATTATGAAAATAAGAATTTCCGATAAATCGTAACCATATGAACAGAAAAGTTACAAAATGAATGGTTTAAACACAGTATATTTTGGTTTTAATAACCAGAATTATGTGGGGTTTTTTTCTTTAACCAGAAATATCATTGCTATTCTGTGCAGTTATATTTCCAGAATTTTCTTTCCGTAGGGGAGTGAGGGACACATGTGAACATGGTATGTTTTACCAATATTATTTGAAAGAAGAAATCTCGAAAAATTTTCAATAGATGGTAGTATTAATCCTACCTTTTTGCAAAACTTTCAGAACAATGAGCTATTTTGTTGTTATATTCTGACAATTTCTTTGTATCAGCTGGTGTTGTACATACTTTTATCACTCGCTTCTTCAAGTGAAAACATAGTATAAATCAACTAATAAGTTAAAATTAACTATTACAGAACATTATATGAACATTTAGGTAAGTTTATGACAATTATTATTTTTTTTACTTAATTAAAAATTCCTTATTTTTCAAGTTAGGTTTAAGAAAGATGATGGGGCACTTGCGAACAAAACATCTGGGGCAGATGTGAACAGTTCACATGTGCTCGTGCATAGTATTAAGATTATCATACTCATGATTGTCAATTTTTAAGCAAAAACTGAAGAAAACTATTTCTATATTAATTAAGGTAAGTGCTACTTACCCCATTCTCCAGGACTGCCACATTTTGGAGGGTAATAAACATCAATTTTCTCAGTCATAAAAGACTCTAACATGTTTATAGACAATCACTTTAATAATAACGGAATTAGAAAACACAAACAAAAAAAAAAGGATTAACAATTTAAGTTCAATTATTTACGGAGCTAAACATGCTTGTTCTCAGATCGAGATATTAACATCAACTGGTGGCGCTGAGGGCGCACCAAAACAACATGCGCAGAAGACACTTATAGTGGGAATTCTCGACAATCTCCCACCTTTGGATTCGAAGAAATATTTTCGAATCCAAACAGAATTCTTAGTCTATATGGTCCATCTGAAAAAAACTAAACAAATAAAATTATTAGCAAAATGGTTACACTTCCAGCGGAAAAAGTCTTTGTCGCAATTTTAACCGATAAGAATATCTTTTGTTCAATTTTTTTGAATCAATTAGGTCAAATTCAGGAACACCAATTTCTTTAATTTCCTGTAGAAACATGGATGGTGTGAGCGCTGACAGATCTTCGGGATCTTCTGAAAGATACGTTATAGGACGGGAATTAATTAAACTTTCCGCGTCGCATAATACTGTAGCTAACTCTTCTTCATTCAAACAAGCTCGTCCTAGAACCTTTCTCAGGATGCCTTTCAAAACTCCTATTAATCTTTCGAAGAAGCCTCCCCACCAAGGGGCAGAGGGAGGATTAAATTTCCATGAAATTCGTTTCCTTGAAGCAAAGTCTTCAATTTCGTTCCAATTAATGTTCTTCAAAAGATTTGCCGTTCCCACAAGATTTGTCCCATTGTCAGAGTATACAGTGGACGGGTGTCCTCTGCGAGCAATAAATCGGCGAAGGGCCAAGATGAAACAATCTGTTGACAGGGACGATACTACTTCGAGGTGCACCGCTCGGTAGATGGCACAAGTGAAGAGTACCACCCAGCATTTTCTATCTCCTTTTAAAAGCAGAGGTCCGCACAGGTCGACACCTATAATTTCAAAAATAGCTGCGTCTCTGACTCGATCTTCTGGGAGTGGAATGCTTACGNGCAGTCCCTGTTCGGGCGCCAAATTTCAATTTTTAAGCAAAAACTGAAGAAAACTATTTCTATATTAATTAAGGTAAGTGCTACTTACCCCGTTCTCCAGGACTGCCACATTTTGGAGGGTAATAAACATCAATTTTCTCAGTCATAAAAGACTCTAACATGTTTATAGACAATCACTTTAATAATAACGGAATTAGAAAACACAAACAAAAAAAAGGATTAACAATTAAAGTTCAATTATTTACGGAGCTAAACATGCTTGTTCTCAGATCGAGATATTAACATCAACTGCTGGCGCTGTGGGCGCACCAAAACAACATGCGCAGAAGACAGTTATAGCGGGAATTCTCGACAATGATATTATAAGTTTAAAAGATATGTATGCATTTAAAATTATTATTATTTAATTTTCCATAATTAATTAATTAATTGTTAATTTTTTCTTTAAAAAATTTTATTTTATTAAATGGTTGGTCAACAGTTTTGTGTTACATAATGATTACAAGAAGTAAAAAGACACAATATTTTATTACTTAAATTGTTAAGTTTAAAATAATTTTTGAAATTATTATTATTAGTAGTAGAAAGCCTATTTTGCAAAGGCAATACATGCAAGTATAATCTTTATTCAATAAAATATTTTTAATGCTGCATAGTCTTCTAAGTTTTGAATGAAAATGAGAAAAAAGCATGAAAGGGTCGTATCAGAGAAGAAAGAAAAAGGCCCATTACGTCTCCTGAGGAACATGAAGTTGCGAAAAACCGAATTGACGAAATTAACCCAATAAATTCACATAAACAAATGAACCCAATAAATTCGTATAGTAAGCTACAACCCCTTCAGTATAATGTGTATCTATATCTGTTATATTAAAGAATTTTTATTTTTTTTTCTTTCTATTTTGCTCTATGATGATTGCTTTGTGTTTTGAATCTTGTTCATATGTGCCCCAGGCATTTTCGCTTGTGCCCCTATGGGGGGGGGGCACATGTGAACAATTGAAGTCCTTTTTCTAAAATATCATAAAGTAAAGAAATATTTTATTGACTATTTAAACACATGGACTTCTTTACTGTGAGAAATTGATCATATTTTTTGAAAAAAGACGAAATTAAAAAATTTGTTCACATGTGCCCCCCTCTCCCCTATATGTGACTCGAAAAAACCCAGCCCAAAAACCCAGTTGTCGCAAATGCTCTAGATTTTCCTTCTAAATAATGATCTCACTGAAATATATAAAACAACTTATTGAAGAATGTCATTGTGTTTATTTTATTAAAAAATGGTAATTACAGAGAATCAGAAGCGTAATTTTTTTCAACAAAATCGCAAAATTATTCAAGCTTCCAAGGTTATAAATTCATAATTATTGGTTAGAAAAGGAATTTTCGCCAAAATATTTGCTAATATCAATCATGATTGATAATTACTAAAGCATAAAAGATCTTACCCATGGTATGAGGTCATGTTTAAATCCGAAAGAAATTAGATTATAAATCAGCTTAAAATATATGATTTACTAAATTGATTCGGTCTGAATAGTGTAAATGAGAAAATATTCAATCAATAAGTGACCTCCGTTTTAAATGTTTTGTGAAGTTGTGACTGATCTGGTTTTTGTGATTTTTCTTGATAGCAGTCTTAGAAATTAGTATGCCGAAAGCTCACGTAAAAAAAAATGCTCTTTTACAACTCATAAACAATTGATTTCAAATTTTTCATAACTTCACCTATTTACGCAAATTGTCTTTTTGACTTTTCAAAAGAACCGCTCTTTTTTTTTCTTTTTAATTTCATTTGAAGATATATTTTAAAAAATAGCTGTGGCATCTTGTTATTTTGAAAAAAAGTTATTTGTTTTACTACAGTTCAAGAATTGATTTAACTGTCACGTGTTTTTTCTTCTTTTACAACATTTAGTTGGAAAAGAGTATAAAAGCTCATATCCATTTCGAGAGCTTCACAAACGAGAGGACCAGAGCACAAACTCTTCTGTATTTTAATATCCAGTTTAAAAGAAAAATGCTTTTACAGGTGAGATGTGAATTTTTTATATCCGAATTCGATAAGGTTTAGTTGAAAAAAGAATTTTTTTGAAGTGTTAAAATAAATATTATTTTAATTTTTATTTGAGAATTACATAATTTTATATAAAACTAATTTTGCGACGAATATTGTTTTAATAATACGGAAAAAATGGAAAATGGAAAAAAAAAATTATTTATTGATTTTTAAATTTATTAAACTCATAATCTGTATTTTAAGAAATATTATTGACATAGGAATGACTAATATATATTATTAACAGAGACAACAAATGAAAAAAAATTCATTGTAACAAAAAAATTTATGAAAGAAAACTATTTAAATATGATAGATTTTATTGCAAGCAAAAACAATATGAAGCATAGAACATGCTTGAATTTTTTGACATTTGTTACTTAGCTGCTTTTTTTTTAACTGGGACAATAAACTATATGGATTTCTGATTGTTTATTTAAACATAATTTTGTTTTAATTTTTTAATAAGACAAATATTTTTATTAACTGCTCAAATACTTGGGTCATCTATTTAAAAAAAATTAAAATATTTATAAACATTTTATTTATTATTGGCAATGACAAACGACTACTCAAATTTTAAATTTACATAGAAATTAAACTATTTCTCATTATTATAAAGCTTAGTTGGAAAAATATAATTAAAAGTAGAATTATGATTGCTTTAACATCTAAGCATGTTAGATCACTAGTTTTGATAAACATGTTTTTATTTAATTTACTAGGAAGCCATACCCTTAGTTCACCTCCACTCACTATCTCCCATGATTGCTTCGCAATAATTGTTATTTCTTCACTGTAGGAAATTACGGATAAAATTAAGGTAAAAATCACCCAGAGTAAAATCTCCATAAAGTCCATTTTTCCAAAAGAAAAGTACTGTTACTAAAAAATTTTATACATAAGTTAATACGGTAATATTTATGTAATTTAAGCGATTCAGTGATTTTACAGTAAATCTTACAGTATATATATATATATANAAATAATAGGAACACCTGTGAAAAAATGAAAATATTTTATTAATAAGGAGTTGGGCCACCTTTGACCTGAATGACAGTTTGCATTCTACGTGGGATTGACAAATAAAGGTCTTGAACAAAGTTCATTGGAATTTGCAGCCATTCCTCTTGCAGGGCTGTCTCGAGTTCAGAGAGTGTGCGTGGAGGAGGAAACCGAGACGGATTTTTTTCTCCAAAAAACCCCACAAAGGCTCAATGATATTGAGATCAGGGGACTGAGGACACCACGTTAGATGGTCCACTTCATCATTATGCTCATTTAACCATGTTTGAACACAGTGAGACGTGTGAACAGGGGCGTTGTCATCTTGGAACACAGGACGTTCTCCCGGAAGGAGAGTATGAAGCATAGGGTGAAGATGATCTGCAAGAATGCTTCGGTAATGGTCCCCTTTGACCACCCCCTCAAGACAACGAGAGGCCCCTATCCACTGGCAGATATAGTGCCCCACACTATCTCAGGACCACCTCCATGTTTCACGGTTGGAACCAGGCAGTCAACATGAAATGCTTCTGTCGGCGTCCGTCACACGAACACACGTCTGGTGGTCTGGAATAGTGTAAAAGAGGATTCATCAGACCAGATGACTTGTTCCGATTGCAGTTGTGTCCATTTTAGGTGGTCTTGGCACCACTGCAGTCTCTTCAAAGTATTCCACACTGAAACTAACAGTTTTGAAATAGCTACTCTGCCATGAATGCTAGCAGCATGCAACTCCCGTTTAATAGTTTTCATGGATATAGGGTTCTGAACGTGGGTATTCATCTCGGATGTTATCACCGGCAGAGTAGCCTTGCGTTTTCGAGCGACTATCCTCTTCAACACCCGTCTATCAGGGTCTGACAACTTCGACTTCCTGCCGCTGTTGTGCCTCGCCGAATACACCTAACCCAACTTTGTGCATACCGACAGAGTCCTTGATACAGTGGTCCTTGAAACACCTACAAAGTTCGCTGTTCTGGATACGGACGCTCCAACCAGGCGAGCTCCTATTATCATGCCTCTTTTAAGGTCAGAGAGGTCGGACATAATCTCGCTTTGCTAGAAACAGATTTTTCTCATGCAAATCTCACACTGCTAAATGCTAGACAGATACCTTGCTTTTCATCACCACTACGTGGCACATTCTTGCGACACGTGCCCGCCGCTTATTGGACGGTCGAGAACGACTCCATTCTTTCACAGGTGTTCCTATTATTTTGTCCTATACCTGTATATATATACACATAAAATTACTGAATTGAGAAAAAATTTAATAGTATTTGCTTACGCTTCCCACGTCTGAACATTTCTTTTATGATTCATTATAAGCTATTACTCTGTTAAAAATTTCTTAGAAAAAATGAATAAATACCAATTTATTTAATTGTTATTCTACACTACTACCTTATTCAAACAAAACAGTTAAATAACCAAAAGTAAGATGGTGTTCAATCTGTTGACTTTGAAAAACCCGCTTATTAATTACTTTTACCAAATACGGTGGAGCAACCAGAATTTCATCGCACCAACTGAACCCACCTGAAGAAGTCACTTAGTTTCCTGCAGATAGGTACATACTATAACCGAGAAGACTATTTTGTTAATCTCATGGCCGACAGAACGGAGTTCGAGTCCCACCGCTGACAAACACAATATTTTCTCCATTCTCTCCGGTACATGAAGGCAGTGTCTTGCACTCTGCAAGTTGTGACCCTGGGCTGATAGAATACGATACTCTGATTCACGCATATGGTAGTCCTCCATCATTAGTTAAATTTCTTTTTATGGTTTTGAAACCATGTCAGTTGTAAATTGTTACAAAACCGTGTAGTTTTGTATTCACGGTTTTCTCTGCCATACTAGTTGTAAACGATTTCAAACAGTAAAGGTAAAAATTTCTTCAGTGTAAATTTTACGATTAATTGGATGGACTGACTACTGTCGGTTATTTTACCATAGTTTTAGAATGAACATTCTTGCGATGTGTAAGGAAATTACTTCAATCAAGCATAATGGGCAGCATCAATTTAATTCCTTATACAAAATTTTAATAATTACAAATGAGGCTTCACAAATCATATACAGCCGGTTATTTTACCATAGTTTTGGAGAGAGACTTTAAACGATATGGTATTACAAATACCACAATTCATTACCACAATTATAAATTTTAACAACTTTTAAAATTAAAGGTATATTGTTATAACAATAATTGGTGAGTTCTCAACAGTAAATTAATATGTTCGCTCAGTAAACAGGCTAGCAAATTAAGCATAATTTTTGCATGCAACCATATTGTGCATGAACCTGATCGTTAAGATCTTAATCGTTTTACGAATATTTTTAACTGTATGGTAATTTGCATTAAAAATACTAATTGTGAAGTAGTTGATAAGCTTAAGACGCCAATTCAAATAAGTTTATCATAAAATGGAAACGTAATAGAATTACGTTAATAACAAACCAACTCCTTTTGCTTAAAACTCGTAATTTAGAAAACAATAAAAAGCAGAAACAAAGTAATAAGATAAATAAATATTACAGGTAAGTGCCTTTGAATTTTTTTCTGTCCCTAAAACCCCTAAAACAATACCTTAGTGACTTCTATTAATTTGATGCTTATAAAAACCAAACAAATAACTGGACTTTACCATATGATTCTCCTGCCAATAAAACTGCATAAGCAACAATGGAAAACTGTGTCAGACAATGTAAAGAAATAGCGATGTTCAAGGCTGTTCAGCGATGGTTATAAAAAAAAGTATTGGTTTTAAAAAATAATATTTGTAATTTAGTTTTAAAAAATTGGATTGCTTTGTGATTATGAAAACTTGGTATTTTACTTCAAATTTTTATTCTTTCAGATTGTCATATTTGCTGTTGGATTATTTTGTACAGTAAATAGCTATAACTATGGAGTCAGTGCAACTGCATCTCGAGGCTTTAGTGGAAGTTTGGGAGGCTATGGCGGAAGCATGGGTGGCTATGGAGGAGGTATGGGTGGTTATGGAAGAGGTATGAGCGGAATGGGAGGATACGGAGGAAACGCGGAAAGTTATGGATCTGGAGGAGCAATGGTGAGATAATAATGAAATGATTCGAAACCCAATTAGATTTCAAGAGATACTTGTATTACATTGATTTTTTGTGTGTTATTAGTCTAAGCCTAAACCATACAGCTTCAACTACCAAGCCAATGGCATGAGTGCAAACAGTTTTAGAAATGAAGAGGGAGATTCTAGTGGAAATGTTCAAGGATCTTATGGTTACACAGACGTTCAAGGACTGCAAAGACAAGTACAGTACACAGCTGGTGCAGCTGGATTCCAAGCTTCAGTGAAGACCAATGAACCAGGTACAGACCGAAAACCAGAAAGCCCTGCTGATGTGAATATGATGGCCGAACCAGCACCTGCAGGAATACAAGAAAAATACACTAGAAGAGGTGATACAAATGGCAATTGTTTTCTTGAAATTATTATTATTTAAAGTAAAATTAAAATTTTTCAATTGCTGAAAGAAATTATTATATTAAAAATGGTTAACTATTAAATTAATTTATTATTTTTTATTTACCATAGTTTATAAGTTATAACGGTTAACTACAAACTGAAGTTACTGCATCAAGGTAAAGTTCAGGGGGGAAATTTTGCTTATTCACAATAATTAGTTTTGCAATGAGCCAGGTACAGACAGCAAACCGGAAACCCCAGCTGATGTGAATATGGTGGCCAAACCAATATCAGCAGGAACACAAGAAAGATACACAAGAAGAGTTAATGAAAATGGCTCTTATGGTTGAAATTATTATTACTTGAAGTGAAATAAAATTCTTCGATTACTTTAGTAATTGCTTTTTTCTAAAAAATAAAAAGTAATTGCATAGTGAAATAATTGCCTTAAGGTGATGTTTATGGGCAAAATTCTGTTTATAAGATTGTTACTTATGTACAATAGTTATTTACTCTTCGACTAAAAGTTGCAAATTGTTCATCGTTTTTCTTTTTTCGTTTGATTGATTACTTACTAAGATGAGCGGCTTAGTTAGCAATCTAAAAGTTGATAATTTTTATAAATTGCGATTGTTCACCTAAACATTTAAGATTTTGAATTGCTATGCATGGAAAACCAGTTTCTCAATGTTATTAGATTGAAAGAATAGTGTTTAAGTGAAAAGTCTTATTCGTCTTTTGCCCCTTGCGTGGCCACTTAGAGAATCGAAACAAAAAATCTTGCATTTTATTTACTGAGTAAAAGGTTTTTTGAGAAAGAATAATTATTTAGAACTAGTAAACTAATACCTTTCGGATATTCCTAACTGTCATATTTCTGACTTTCACAATTTATTAATCACTACGCCATTGTCCAATGGCGGCACAAATCATTTTTAAAGGGAACTTTTTGCATTCAAGCAATAAAGAGACTCTGGGATAGTCCAAACTGTGCTGCTTAGCATTAACTTAAAGCTCCAAATCCCCCAAACACAATAATCTAAAGGATTTAGATCTGGTGAAAAGGTAACCAAACTTCTTGCTTGATAAACTTCGGACAATCGACATGGAGCCAAGACCCTGCTGTTTCATTTTGGTGCGATGGAGCAGAACCTTGCTGAAATATCCATTCCTTTTAGTGATACAATATGTTAGCATGCAACAATAAATGTGTAGCCAAAACTTTCTTTTTGTAATATTCAGGGTAGATTTTTACCAATTTTCGATGAATTGAGTTGAGCTGAAATTTTCATTATTTGTCACTGCGTCCCAAAGCATTATAGAATTATTGCAAGCTGCAGAAAGCTCGAAAATTTTCAGGTATATGATCGAACTTGCTGAATATGCAACGTTATTTTTAGATTTATATCTCAGTTCTGTATTACATAATTTCTTACAGCAAATGATTATTCTGTCAACACTTTTGCTACCGTGCCGGTTCAGCAATTTTACATGTTAGTAACCGTTGTAACTTTTGTGTATCTGGAACTTTTATTTTGTGATAAGGGTGAAAGTTCACCTCTTCATTTAATATAAATTAATTCATTAATATAATATAATTTAATATTTTCTTAATGCCCTCTTTTAAACGAACTGAGCGTTAACGACTAGACTTGAGTCAATCTTTACAAGCTAATAGAAACAAAAAATTGATTTTTCGCTCTATATATAAATGTTCAATTAAACCCAAGAGATTTTAACTGCTTAAAGATTCTACCTGCAGAAAATCCACGACCAAAAAGGTGCTTAACTATCAACCTTTTCAATTAATTTAATTAATTTTAATTATTTGTTAATTTAAAATTCCTTACTGTAAATACAAGAATTTAAACATGCTGTCAATTAGTAACCCTTGATGAATCGATTAAAATATTTTATGGAGTTCCAGAGAAAATGTGTATCAAGTTTTATTAATATAATAATTGATAATGCGAAATTATTCATCAATAAGTCATTAACTTTTATTTTTCTAGCTGGATCAGGAGCTTATGGTGGACTGAGCGTGGGTGGACTGAGAGAGCATGGTGGAAGGGGAATTGGTGGGCTAGGAGGTGGAATTGGAGTATATGGTGGAATCGGAGGAGAAGGAATGGGAGGAATTGGTGGTGTCTCATCCAGTTTATCCGCAGGAATCAGTCGCAGTGGATTAGAAAAAAGTATTCACTTTCTGGCACATTCAATTAATATCGTGATTCCCTTTATTTAACATTTCTATTTTAAATTTTTAGCTGCTTTAATACAGTTAGGTGATATGCATATTTAAATATTGACAATTATCTTAAATTTTTTGCTACTTTAATTCAGTTAGTTGACATACATATTTAAATATTGGCAATTGTTATTAATTTTTAGTTACTTTAATATAGTTAGGTGATACACATATTTAAATATTGGCAATTATTTTTAATTTTTAGCTACTTTAATACAGTTGGGTGATATACATATTTAAATATTGGCAATTATTTGAATATAACCAAAATCAAGTCGTACATCGTGGAAAAAAACATATAAAAATGAACTCAAGTCACACCATTTATTCACATTTTATAAAATAGTATTTCTTTCATGGACATCTCAAGAAAGTCCAAAAATGAAAATTGAAATCACATGATGGACACATCGGCAAACAAACGCAAAACATTAAAATAAATAAAAGTGAGAGGATTAAAAATTAAAATCTGATTTAAAAGGGTGAAAATGTAAGGAAACTAGGAGAGGTTATTTAAAGTGAAACAAATAAATAAACGTAACTACTTAAATTACAAATGATTCTGTAAAAATACACTTTCTAATTTTCCAACAATTTTTCTTTTAGTCTAAATAAAAGAAGATTCATCTATTTGTAAAATGAACGATTCTATTGCACTTTTATTATTCTATTATTGAAAAATTTTAAAGGAAGTAGGTATGGGTAAGAAAGTTTCTTTTTTTTTGCAAATTTTAGTACGTAAACAAATTATGTGAAAGAAACTTAAAATACAAAAATAGAGAATGTTTTTTTTTTATAACCGATAGAATTGAATCACGTTTCATCATAATCGATGTTGTAAATATCTCCGTTGGAAACGAAAACCACTTTTTTTCTACATTCTCGTTTTTAATATACTTCCAAAAATTAATTCACCCTCCAAATATAGTTACTTTTTATTTAAAATAATCTAAATAGCAGTTAAAGCTAAATAGCAGTTTTATTAATTTAAATTTCAATGTAAGCAATTTCATGCACTGAGTTTTTAAGGGGAAAAAATCCTTAAAATCTCTGTTTTGACTGATTAGCAAGATTATGTAAATCATTTGAAAACTTCAATTTTTTAAATGAAACTGTTAAATCCTTTGGAACTATAAATCTATTCAGTAGTTGATATTTTCAAAAATGCTTCAGAAAATTTCCAAAAATGTTTACATGTTGACTATAAGAAAATTTTATTGAATCGATTTAATTATTTTGTAGTATTTCAGAGAAAATTTTTATCAGATCTTATTTATATTATTACTGATCTTGAAAAATTTTCATCAGTAAGGCATGGACATTTATTTTTCTAGTTGAGTCTGAATATCAAAGAGGAAACGTTGGTGGAATGAGAGCGTATGGTGAAAGTGGAATGAGTGATTTAAAAAGTGGAATGGGAGGCTATGGTGGAATTAGAGGAGATGGAATGAGGTATGGACATACTGGTATGGGAGCAATTGGCGATGGAACCTACGGTCCATCCACCGGAATCAGTCACAGTGGATCAGAAAAAAGTATTTACTGATATACAATATCTGCACATTTAACTAATATCTTTATTCTTAATCCTCTTTAAGTTAACCCTTTCGTTTTAAGTGTTTAGTTACTTTTATGTACACCATTAAAAATTCCTTGGAAAAAATGGTTAAATACCAATTTATTTAATTGTAATTTTACCAAATTTAAACAAAACAGACAAATAACCATAAATAATATGGTATTCAAACTGTAAATTCTGAGTTATTTACTACTTTCACCTAATATGGTTAAACAATCAGAATTTCCTCGCACCAACTGAATCACTTTTAGTTCTTTACTACATATAGCTGAGAGGGGTAATCTGTCAATCTCATATGAGATAGAATGGAGGTTCGAGTCCCAGCGTTGACACCACTAAATATCCTCCAATCCCTTAAACACACGAAAAATTATCAGTATCCAGCACTCCCTAATTTGTGACCTTAGGATATTAAAATACGATACTCTCATTCACCCATAGATGGCAGCACCATAAAGCTGGTAAACTATCTGCCATGTCCAGTCTTTTTAATATTTTTGAAAACTTGCTAGTTGTAAATGGTTAAAAAAACCTTATTACTTTGTATTCATTTTTTTTAACCATACAAGTTGTAAACGGTCTTAAAACCTCAAATATAAAAAGTTTTCTTTAACGTAAACTTTACGGTTAATTGGATGGACATACTGCTGCTGGTTATTTTACCATAATTTTAGAGAGAAAATTCTAACAGTGTAGGTTATATGATATACATGTTTAAAGATTGACAATTATTTGAACATCACAAAACATCGTGGAATACATCGTGGAAAAACATTTAAAAATGAACCCATGTCACGCCGTTTATTTACATTAAGAAAGTCCAAAAGCCGAAATTGAAATCGCATCATTAGAAAGAGTATTTTAGTCAAAACATCTCGAAAAACGTGCGCAAAACGTTAAAAATGAATAAACAAAAAAATAAAAATTTGAAGATTAGAAGAAGACGAAAAACGTGTGAAAAACGTTAAAAATGAATAAACAAAAAAATAAAAATTAGAAGATTAGAAGATTAAGAATTAATATCAGATTTAAAAGGCAGAAAATTAATGTAAAGATAATAAGATTGATTATTTAAAGTGAAGCAACTAAATAAACTTTACAATTTTTCCGTTTTTAGCTACTTGTATTTACGCTATGTGATATACATATTTAAAAATTGGCAAACCATTTAAAAATTACGAAAGTAATGACAAACATCTGGAAAAAATATTTAAAAATTAACCCAAGCCACATATTTTACCCACATTTAATAAAATAAACATTAATCTCATCTCAAGAGCTCGAAGTTCAAAAAATCAAATTGAAATCACATAACAAACACGTCAGCAAATGCGCGCAAAGTGTCAAAATGTAAATGAAAAATAATCGAAACAAAAATTCATATCTTATTTGAAATGAAAAGGGGTAGAGTGAATGAACGATATTGAAAGTGAAACGAATAATTAAACGAAACAGTTTTAATTACAAATGATTCTGTAAAATACCCTTTCTAATTTTCAGTCAAAATTTGAGTCTTCATTAAAAACGATACATCTAGATGCCGCTCGCAAAATGAACTATTCTACAGCATTTTTAATTAGAGAAAAATTTCAAAGTAGATATGTATAAACAAGATTCATTTTACACATGCTAAAATATTAACATATTTTTACGTAAAAATAAATTAAAGTTTGAAAATAAAGAGTTCATTCTGGGACAAATACAATTGAATAACATTACCTCATCATCAGTGCTATAAAAATTTTCGTAGGAAAAAAAACCTTTTCTTTTTCTCTTTTCAAACAGAAAAAGAAAAGGTTAAAGGAAAAGAAGACAAAAAAAGAGAATACTTTCTTTGACAAATGGAATTGAATTACTTTTCTTCATAATGAATGTTATAAATATTTCCGTTGGAAAATAAATCTTTTTTTTTCTTTTTTTCTCTATATTTCCAGTTTTAATATACTTTCAAAAAGTTCACACGAGAGTTCAAGAGCACACGAGAGTAGTTCTACTCTCGTGTGCCCTTGAATAGGGCGGATCGAGATACGAATAAACAATACTTTCAAAAAGTTATTAATTTTCCTTACAAATGTAGTTCTTCCTTACAATAAATAATTTTCGAAGCTGAAGAGCTATATCATAGATTTAAATTGAAGTAATTTTATACGCAAAGTCACTGTGGGGAAAAAATTTCTCTCAATTCAAGTTTATTAATCATCTGAAAATATAAATTTCTTATTTATTGGAAATTTTAAATCATTTGGCAATATAGATGCATTCATCAGCTGTCCTTTTAAATTTCTCTTCATTTAGTTATTTCTAATTTTTAATTATTTGTTCATTTAAAATTTCTAACAGTATATTATACGAGAATTTATAAATGTTGTAAATTAAAAAAACGTTCATGAATCGATTAAAATATTTATTGGAATTTCAGATAAATTTCTTATCAGATTTATTAATCATTTACTGACCTTGTGACATTTTCCATCAACAAGTCATTGACTTTTATTCCTCTAGTTTTATCCGGGGGTCAGAGAGGAAACGTTGGTGGAATGAGAGGAGGCAGTAGACTGGTAGAATATAGCGGTCTAGGAGGTGGAATTGGAGGAATTGGAGGAGGTCAACATGGTAACATTGGAGTTGTTGGAGATGGCTCATCCAGTCTATTATCAGGAATCAGTCGCAGTGGATCAGGAAAAAGTATTCACTTTTACACAATATCTGCGCACTTTATTAGTATTGTTATTCATAATCTTCTTTTTTAATCCACTGATTTTTAGCTACTTTTATTTAGAACTAGCCGCCTCAGGCGGCCAGCTGTCCACCACGCTATGTTTCTTGGGCCTTAGCACTGCTAGTAGAGACATGATCCTCTTCCAATCTTCTTTGACGCTTCTCAGGTGTTTCTCAGACCCTAGCACTGCTAATTGNGAGTTACATGAAATTCATGGCAGACATCGAGGAAAAACGTATAAAAAGGAATCCACGTCACACCATTAATCTACACATGATTAAATATTACTATTCTTATCTCAAAAATTCTAAACCCGAAAAAAAAAAAACAAATTGAAATCGTATTAGGAATACATAAGCTAACATGCGTGAAATGTTGAGTAAAATAAATAAATTAATAATTAAAAATAATAGAATTAAAAATTAATAACTGATTTAAAATACAGAAAAAATAAAAATAATAAGAAGGATTATTTGAAGTGAAACAATAAATGAAATATTTTTAATAGCAAACGATTCTGCGAATAACCCTTTCTAATTTTCACTCAAAATGTGTTGAGTCTGAATAAAAGACGATTCATCTATAGAGAAGATTCATATATTTTTTGTGAAATTCAATAGCACTTTTCATAAGGGAAAAATCTTAAAGCAAATAAATAAGTAAAAGCAAGTTTTTTTATAAATTTTTATGTAAAAAATTTAAAGTTCAAAAATAGAGATTGCATTTTGTGACAAATACAATTGAATCACGCTTCATGAACATTCATGTTATAAATATATATCAGTTGGAAAAAAAATCTTTTTTCCTCTACTTTTCCGGATTTAATATTCTTCCAAAAATTAATTAATTTACTCTCAAAATATAGTACTTTTTTAAATTAAAAATTTCTTAGAGCTAAGGAGCTGTTACATTGATATAAATTTAAATTTATACAATTTTACACATGAAGTTTCTAAACAGAAAAAAAATTTTAAGAATTCGCTTTCAGTTTATTAGCAAGTACATCTTTTTAATTAATCGACTTTAATTTCAACTAATTATTTAAAAATTTTAAGTTAATTAATCATTTGAAAGATTAAATTTCTTAACTATTGGAAATGTTTAATTATTTCATAATACAGTTCACATTCAACATCTGACACTATTTCACTATTTCAAATATTTGTTAATTAAAATTTCTTATTTTAAATCATGCTAGAATTTATATACGTTGTTAATTATAAATTCTTCATGATTCCATTAAAATATTTTATGGGGTTCCAGAGAAAATTTTTATCACGTTTTATTTATGTAGTTACTGATCATACAAAATTATCAACCAATAAGTTATTTACTTATATTTTTCTAGCTGGAATTCAAGGTCATGGAGGAAACGTTTATGGAATGGGAAGATATGGTGGGGCTGGAATGGCTGAGTATGGTGGTTTGGAAGATGGAATTCGAGGAAATGGTGGAATCGGAAAAGGAATGGGTAGACATGGTGACATGGGAGGAATTAGTGGTGGCTCATCCAGTCTGTTCGCAAAAATCAGTCGCAGTGGATCAGGAAAAAGTATTCCGTGATCTACAACGTCTAAATATTTAATTAATATCGTTATTCATAATCTTCTTAACTAATCCTCTTATTTTCAGAGACTATAGCAACTTTCATTTAAATCATGTGAGATGATTATTGTTTATCTGTGTGAATAAAATTACTAAGTTAGGAATGTAAAATTAATCGAAGAAAAATTAGTAAATTATCTGTAAGCACATTATAAAATATATTTGGATAAAACAGCTTTTTTTTAGGAAATTTTGAAAATCCCTTTTAAAAGAAATTATTTTTAAATTAGTTCACTTGTTTGAGTTATTTAGTTTCATTTTCCTTAAAAAAATATTTTTGAGTTTTATGAATAAAAGTGTTTTTATATTCTGTTAATAAGAATGATCATAGTTTTGAAGTAAATATTTTCCTATTGGTGGTTTTCTTGCTTTGTTAATTTTTTTAATACTCGCTGTTTGTGTATGGGTACAAAAAGTAAATTTTTCTGTTTTAAAATGTAGGTTGTGGCTATATTAAATGTGTTTGCTCGGCTGTTATGTTTCTGTATTTCCATATTGATCTGTACTTGTATTTTTCAAAAATTTATTTTTAATAAAATCTCATTTGAAAATACATGTTGCCTTTTTTTTAATGTATTTTTAAGTTAAAAAACGAAACAAAAGCATTCAAGACAAATAAGTGATATTTTAAGACACTAGAATTTTATTCAACTTATTTCTGTCAAATAAATAAATGAAACTGGGGTTTAAATAATATTTAAAAAAACATAAACAAATGTAAAAAAATTCAAGCATATTATAAAATAGTTAAATTGGCAAACGAGTTTTGATGCTATACTACACAGTGTCAAGAGCTATACAAAAAAAATAATAGTAAAAAAGTAGTAAACAGTAATGGTAAAAAGTGGTTTTTACTGCTTATTTACAGTGACTCTCTACTGAACGAAGTTTTAAAATAAAGAGGATAGCATCTAATCAATATAACTTAAAGTATTTGAAACTTTCAAAAATATTTCATTAAAAAAATGCAGGAAATAAAAAAATGCTGTAAAAAAAGTGAAAAGGGAGAAAAATAACACTATGTTTTTTTCAATGTTTTCTGAATTTTTTCAGTGTTTTCTGAAAAGAAAGTTTAGTTTCCAACTCCAACTTTTTGAGTTGTAACAATCTCTTAACTTTTAAAGTGAAGTATTATGGTCAATACAGATTCAAACACGTAAACACACTATACAAATATCATGCCTGTATTTTAAAACACACTTTTAATAATGGTTCAAAAAGTTTTTTTTCCTTTTTAAATTAACATTTTGGTTTGTTTTTATCGATGTGGAAGTTAAAATCGATAAAAATAAGATTTTTTAGGAAAGTTTTTTAGATAATCTCACAACTATACTATTATAAAAGACGGTACACCATCGCATACAGCAAACATTGCACAACAAAATGAAGTTGATACAGTTATACTTATAAGTTAGTACTTATTTTTATGCAACTTATACAAGCACAGTTATACTTATTTAGTAAAATAGCTTAGTGTTAATTATTTGATAAAAGATAAAAGGCTTGTGAACTCTCAAGATTTTAATCACTTTTTCATTAAGTACATGGTGCCCAAACCAAACAATGTAAAATGTACAAACTTAAATAAATTTCAGAGTACGATAAAACAAGTTTGAGAAGAATTTTTTTATAAATGTGATGCTGCTTTTCCTTGTTATAAAAAAGTTGACTAAAAAGAGCTGTAATTTAAAAAAATCCTATTAAAGAAAGTTAAGCCAACCTATTAGATTTATGAATAAGATACATTAGGTATACTGTAAAATTATATTTTATAACCATTGTTAAGCAGACAGCCCAATTTTTGGGTTTACGACTACCAATGTTCAATTCCGTAGCCTTGTAAACTTGAACTGAATCCAGAAGTCATGGGAACTCCTGGATCAAGTATTGGGAGAAATTCAACTTCGTGGACAAATTTTTGAGGAAACTACCGCATTTCCATTACAAGGGTAAAATTATATTGTAGAAATTGTATACAGTAGAAATAGTTGTAAATAAGTATACTGTAGAAGTTGTTTTTTAAGGTCTCCTAAAAGGATAAATTCTGCTGGCTAAAATTACTTGATTATGGTTAATTTTGAGAATCATTAGTAGGCTTCGAACAACAGCACAATGCCAACTGATTGCGAATATTGTTAATCATTATTTTGATGGGACGAACATCTAAAAACATGTTTGTTTAATCTAATAACGTAAAGCAGTAACGGAATTAGACAAGTAATAATAGATTAAGAAAATGAAATTATTTTGCTTTTATTAATTCGGTTTTCTCATAAGTCTCAGTTTTGAACATAATTTCGTAGTAATGATAAATGAAGATTTATTGATTACTTACTTTTTCAACTCATACGAAGAATTATTATTCAGCTTGTATACATTAGTATTGATAACAAAAACAACTTTGAGCATATACATATTTCTTAATATAAATTGAACTAAAATCATAAATCAGGAAATATTATCAGAAATCTACATTTTTTTCGAGAAAATATCGCATACTGAGAGATAAAAAGTTTGGTAAAAACTTCCAAAATAGAGTAAAATTTACTATGTGTTCGGCTCTTTGAGAGCACCAAAAGGAATAGTAAATTTTACCAACGGGCTTTGGTAAATTTTCGCAAAAAACTGTTGTTTTACAGCATGTGGTAAGATTTGGACACCTTATAATGATACATTGGTACATGCATGACTTGCTGTTGTAGTTCATTTACGTCGCAGTAGAGCTGCACAATGGGCTATTGGCGACGATCTGGGAAACATCCCTGAGGATGATCCGAAGACATGCCATCACAATTTTGATCCTCTGCAGAGGGGATGGCACCCCCGCTTCGGTTGCCCAGCGACCTGCACGCGAAGTCGAGCACTTTACGGTAGCACAGTTTACCGAGGACCAACACCGCACACCCTCGGTCTCTAAGCAGACTGATCCAAGTGGTCACCCAACCGCACACTGACCACAGACAGTGAGGCTTGACTTCGGTGACCTGCTGGAAAGCGTGTCTTAACGATAAGTCCACTGTAGGACTACATGATTTGTACAGTCCTAAAAAAAAAAGCGAATCACCCTGAATAACTTTCGTTCTAATGGTCGGATTTTCATGAACTAAGTGTCAATCTTAATAGTTCCTGGGGGTGACCTCCTCAAATATGCTAATTAATTAGTGCTAATTATTAATTAAGTTATGAAATCAGACACAGAAACGTACTTTCTCTGAATAAACATATATTTTTTTTAAATATTTGGAATCCTGACCCATGAAATAGGGGGGAGGGGTAGGCAAAATTTCGAAAAAAATAGGGTCGTAAATTGGGTCTCAACAAAGATAGATATATATATACACATATATGGCGAAAGTTTAAAAAAATGCCAATTTTCCTCGCCATAGAAAGTGAAACAATTTAAAAACAACTATAAAGAAACTGAATGCATGACCAGATGTCATAACATCGTGCGTCTCTGTTGCTATAGGCAACCAAGAAGAGAAATTTTGAATCTGCTTAATGGGCATAGAAAATAGTATTCTTTTTAATACTTTGAAAATTTAATTTGAATTTAAAATGAAGATACAAAAATGAAATTATTTTTGATGCTCCAATATTTCAAAATTTGAGAGTTGAAATTATTATCTGACATTTTTTTTATTTTTTTAAGGATGTTATTTGTGTAAAAATGTTGTACTAAAGACAAATTTATATAAGTTATTATATATTTATGAAGAGTTGTAGGGGTAATTGCTGTCACGCCTCAGTTCAAGTCTTTCAGGTAAGGAAAAGGAAAAAAAGATGCTGCAAAAAATTTGGGGCACGATTCTGATGCGCATTCAGAAGGTTTTATAAAATTCCCGGTATTACTTCTGTTAATAAATTTGAAAAAT